TATGACGATGCAAGCAGATTTGTTCAATATATACTGTTTCAATCGAGGCAAATTTGGTCCAAAAGTAGGTGGAGTCCGAGTATCCTTGTGAAACATCGATTTCGTGACATAAAATTGGTCCAGGAAACATGACATAACAATTACAATAGTTGGCAGCTAAAGAGCTCACCGGTACCCATCACGTACCGTTCTAATGTTGAATCCCAACACATTCTTCATGTAGTTCGGCAGTTGGGTAAGCAAGAAGTAGTTGCCCCAGTTGGAAGAGAATTGACCGACGATGAGAGCCCAGGCCGGAAGTGACGACAATACTTTCAGCCAAGGAACTCTTGGTTTCTATCGGAGAAAATGCAAGGCCTCTTATTATTCAAACGATGTGTTTAAAGCTCAGAATCATGTCTGCTATACCAACAAAATATCTCACATAAGAAGATAGTATGATGGAACAGATCGCATCTTTGCTTGTTACCTGTTGTACTTTTTCCCCGATACTGTCTTCTATGTACTTCTGTTCTTCCTCCAGGATCCGCGGATGTTTTGCAGGCGAGTCGTAAGCCAGGAGGAGCCACACTACGAGCCAGACTGCTACAAAACCTCCTACAGAAAGTTAGGGGATAAAGCGGTGATTCAATCTATTATCTTTTCTCGTAGTGGTGGTGGTCTTTATGAGTTGAGTTTGTGGGCTTACATGTGCCAAAAGATGCACTCATCATTGTTTGGGGGTCTATACCATGTAGACTATCACATTATGCTATGGTGTTGATCAGCCTAGCATTTGACACCTTTCTGCATTGGTATGTTGATGGCATTTTTAGATTTCCTTACCAGGAATATAGAAGATAGTCTCCCAGCCCAGCTCAGCAGCTAGGAAGGACGCCAGTGGGTAGTTGATTATGTTACCAATGGGCAACCCTGCATTTGTGTAAAAAAATGTCACATGTTCAGGCCTGATACATGTATAGGATGTTAGCCAATCTAGATTCAGCAAGGCTCCCCAACAAAACTAATGCACCCTTTTACTTTCTATGTACAGAAGGACACCTTACTCTCGAAATGCTGTAAATCAGTAAGGGCATTGTCATTAGATCGCTTTAGGTTTAGAGTTAGATGTTAAAGGGTTAGGTGTAACAAGTCGTTAGGTGTAATGTTGCCAGCTGCCGCCGCGCCGCTTGCCTGCGAAGCTGGTGTGTTACGCCGAAGGGCTATTATACCCGCTATACCGATACACATACAGAAAGCTTAATTTACACATCTAGAACTTTACCTATGTAGCAAAACGCCAGAAGTTTTGTCCTGTCGGTAGGGGGAGCCCATCGGCCCCAGACTCCGTACATGGTGGGGAACAGAACTCCCTGGAAAACAGGAGAAGCTCAGATCCACCAGCAATCCACTTTTCATTAAGACCACGAGGGAAGAGGTAAGCGTCAGACAAAATGTATCAAAAAGATAAAGTAAGTTTGCATCATTCAAAGTCCTAATTAATATAACTTTCTGCAAGGAAATCCGAGTTGCTTAAGATAAGTTAACTTACAGATACCAGGCCCATGATGAATCTGACAGCAAACATCGCCCAAGGGCTGGTCCTGGAGGCCACGGGACCAAGAGCGTCCAGGGCAGCTATGGCCAACATGCCCGTCCCGTACACGAGTTTGCCACCCAACTTCTGCTCCAACACACCACCTACCACCTGTATGGGGCAAAACAGAACTCATGTACTGTGAGTTTGACAGACGCAAAAGATAAGAAATACACTTTGTTTTACAAGGAACAAGGATGGTCTGTATGTTGTCTCAGTAACGACGTCCCGTCCTTCAAGATTGCTCCTTAACCAGAGGCAAAGATATGAGAGTGAACAATTTCAGTCCCCACAAATTTACCAATGAGAATAAAATATGGAGGTTAACGTTATAACGCATCATCTTGTTCAAGATCCAATGTGTACAGGGACTTGTTTCACGTTTCCCTATATATGAATTTTATACTAGTACAAATTTATCTGTGTAAAACGCTTAGGTTGGTCTGCTCCGGATCCGGAGGCGGCAAATGTGCACCTTAGCGGACAATCTCCCCTGTCATGTTGTCTCTCTATATATTTTGCCAATTTCTACTAGCCACCTTCTCTGGTCAACAAACGGCTTACCTGAGTGATGATGTAGCCATAATAGTACGCCCCTAGTAGAATTCCTCTCACACTCGCACTCCATTCCAGTTCTCCTTCTTCGTTCTGTAATCACGAAACAATATAACGTACATAACATGGCAACCAGCGCATATCTAGTGTGTTTCCCTAGAACCTGTTGATGTGGTATCATTGGTTTGTGATTAATAGAAAAAAAATCAATATCCTGCACCAATATAACGATTACCAGTAAGAATAATTTTCCTACCTGTGCGGAAGTATTTCCAGCCCCGCTGCTGGGACAGAGTTGGTAGGGAGCAGTTTGATTGACAGGTGAAGCAGACGATGAACTGTTCACCATGACCACGATGGCGACGCTGAATCCGTTCCTGGTTGGGACTAACGTAAGGATGCCCAGGAAGAACAAGCCCGACAAAATATATCGAGCCGGGATCTTGTCGGCAAGCTGCAGTTGATGTACAAATTGTGAATATGAATGACCAAGTAAAAAGCGAATTTCTACATAAACATGCCACGAAATCAAAGCAGAGCATTGCGTGTGTATATATATGTGCATTTGTTCTTTGTACTTTGTACAACCAAGGACGTTCTACAGAACGCCCTTGGTACACTCTGTACCTCCATACCAGAGCCAGTATATTGATTTAGGCAACGTATTAGCTGCGAATATTCAACAGATAAACGTGTAGAAAAGTGTTAGTGCACATACCAGACAGCAGCTTCCCTTTTTCGAGTCCTGGTCTGGTTTTGTCTCCTCAACGTTCGATGACGTCATATCCTTGCTTTCCGAACCCATTTTCCCAAAGTCTGTGACATAAATGTAAGTCACGATATCTTTAATTTAGACTTTGAATTTTTTTCCAAAGTCTATGATATATACATTATAGCACACACCTTAACGTTTAAATAATCTAACACAGGCGCTAGAATGACAACACATTTTACAATGGAATTTAGAGAAAGGGTGCAGCACACACACACGCGATGATGATAAAGTTCAATGAATACATAAGTGACTTCTATAGTGACTACTGTAATTTAGACATAGCAACTGCAACTGCCTCGTTCACAACTGATTAGAACTACGGTTTTGGACAACATCGAAGTCATCGTATTCTGGTCATTAGCAGTTTAGTTTAAAGACCTACCTCCACGGTATCAGCTCTTCCAACTGCGCTGAACTCTGATCTCCGTGTTGTACGGACTACCTGCCTAACTTGTAAGGGTAAAGAAAGTTGCTACTGGAGACCTGAAAATGTCACAGTAACCTTTGCTAGGCGTCTGGCTGTCTGTTGGAGACAATACACACGGCCGTTCACATGTATGAACAGAATGATTATTCAGTATTATCACATAGCCAGTAGCCGTCGGCCAATCAGAAGGCTCAGTTTGGCTGTGTTAGTCAGGCTGTGTTAGTGTGCCTTGTTTTTTAAATGGATTCAGCTTCTTCATTTTAGGGCCCAAGGTCCTGAAATTTGGTATGGAGGTACAGTGGGCAAATACCCCTAGGCGTTTTTTAATTATTGTGATACAGGCTTTTAGAATGGTTTTATTTGAGTTTTTTGGCTGTGTTATAGCAAATGTATTACTGTGTTAGTGTGCCTTGTTTACCACGTCTGGGCATGAGTCATCACAATGGAATGCAGGGCATCAACCAATAGGCATGCAGCTTTCCTCTATTCTTCTTGCTGATTGGCTGTTGGGATTTAACTTGATTAACACCTGCACAGAGCATTTCCATACTGACAGTATGTCTGTATTGAAGTGTTTTGGTAGGTATTTCAAGCTTTCCTGCTCCAGCATTGGAATGCGGGGCATGGACGTTTTTTTTTTTATTTTGAAAATCAACAGTTTGCATTATGACAATTTAAAAATCCTAACCAATAAAGTAGGGAATAGCTATCCAACTGTTGTTTTAGTTGTATGTTACTTCATATTATAGTTATATCAATGTAAATCATTGTTTTCCCTTGTGTTTCTCATTCTTTCCCTGCCATGTCGTAAAATGTGGTGAACCCATCGCTGTATTTGCTCCAAAGCAAATATTGGCCTTTTAGTGCTTTTTCTGATGTTTCTCCTCCTGCCATATCTTTAAATTGATTCAGCTTCTTCATTTTAGGGCCTAAGGTCCTGAAATTTGGTATGGAGATACAGTGGGCAAATACCCCTAGGCGTTTTTTTAAATTTTTGTGATACAGGCTTTTAGAATGGTTTTATTTGAGTTTTTTGGCTGTGTTATAGCAAATGTATTACTGTGTTAGTGTGCCATGTTTACCACGTCTGGGCATGAGTCATCACAATGGAATGCAGGGCATCAACCAATAGGCATGCAGCTTTCCTCTATACTTCTTGCTGATTGGCTGTTGGGATTTAACTTGATTAACACCTGCACAGAGCATTTCCACCTGCACAGAGCATTTCTTGCTGATTGGCTGTTGGGATTTAACTTGATTAACACCTGCACAGAGCATTTCCATACTGACAGTATG